TGTACAGAAAGCAAAATTATAGAAATAAGCTTTATCTTCCTGCATTAAAGAAAATGGTCTGAAAAATTGAGAACCATAGAACATCTTGCTTTAATGAGAAAAATGAGTGAGACAGTTAAGAGTATATATGAAAAGGCTACCTAACTATAAAGTTTAATTTTATCACATATATCAAGCTTACATAAATTTACTAATAGCATAGTGTAAGAAATGAATATATATATATATATATATATATATGTATATATGTATATATGTATATATGTATATATGTATGTATGTATATATGTATATATATGTATGTATATATGTATATTATATATATATCTGAAGAGTAGTCAAATGGAGATGAATATCTGTGAGATACTTAGGTAAGACAGTAAGCAAAGGCATGATCTTGATGGGATTATCAAGGAAGATTAAAGAATAAAAAGAGAGCTTAGACCTAAATCTTCAGGAACTCCCAATATTTGCAGAACAAAAGAAGATGAGTCTGCAAAAGACTTTTCTTTTGTAAAGGAGGAAAATCCAAGAACTAGGAGGACGATCAAGATAATTGTATCATGAATGCCAAGGGAAGAGATAGCATTTCAAGCAGAAGCAAGTGTTCAACGAAACCAAATGCTGCTAAGAGATCAGGTAAAATGAGGACGAGAAATGTCGTTTGGATTTAGTCTTATAAAGACAAAAAATTAGTGTACAGAGAAAAAAAAATATTTTGGTGATCTGAAGTACTAAGAAGGAGATGTAGGATCAATGAAGGGTCTGGCGTATTTTCACTGGGAGAGACTTGAGCATGTTTAAAAAGCCAACGGGATCATTTCCACTTCCAAGAGAGATGCAGTAGTTAGTGGTATGCCTGTGCTTCAACAGGAAACATTTAGAAAAGCCATATAAAATATAGAAATCATCTTTTTGGAGGCAGCACAAGGGTACCAATAAGAACTGGAGGGACTAAAACTCCAGAAAGGAAATCTTACAGAGGTGAGCTATCTTCTTATATCCTGGGTACATTTGCTGATTCTAGGTATGAGCAGGAAGCTGAGATTCCAGGCTTTGCACCAGCAGAGGAACAACTGACAGGGGACAGAGAAAGCAACAGAGATAGACCAGTTCTAAATATGAAAGGTTAAAAAAAAAATTAGTATCTTCATGACCTTTGGATTTCTTAAATAGGAAACAGAAAATACTAGCCATAAAGGAAAAATATTGATAAATTGGACTACATTAAAAATTAAAATTTCTATTCAACAAAAAGACACTTTAAAAAGTAAAGAGGAGCCCTGGACAGTGTGACTCAGTTGCTTGGAGTGCCATTCTGTGCACTGAAGGGTGGTGAGTTCCATTCCCAGTCAGGGCACATACCTACATTGCAGGTTCCATCATGATTAGGGTGGGTACAGGAGGCAACTGATTGATGTTTCTCCCTCTCTGTCCCCCCTCCTTTCCTCTCTAAAGGAAAAAAAGTAAGTAAAAAGGCAAGCCAGATAGCAGAGAAGATGTGCATATTCAAGAAAAGAATTATAACACTTAAAATCAGTAAGAAAAAGGTAGTTAATTTAAAAAAAGGAAAAGTCTTGAGCATGCTATACAAAAGATGCTAGTGAAATAGCCAATAGACGTCTAAAAAGATACTCAACCTTACCACTCACTCAACAGATAAACCAAATTAAAAGCACAACGCATTATCACCAAATGCCCACAAGAATGGCTAAAATGAAAAAGCCAATCCCAAGGCACTAGCCAGTCTGGCTCAGTGGATAGAGTGTAGGTGCAGACTAAAGGGTCCCGGGTTCCATTCCGGTAAGGGCACATGCCCGGGTCGCAGGCTTGATCCCCAGTGGGGGCGTGCAGGAGGCAGCTGCTAAATGATTCCCATCATTGATGTTTCAATCTTTCTCTCCATCTCCCTTCCTCTCTGTGAAATCAATAAAAATATATTTTTTTAAAAAGCCAAGCCCTAACCGGTCTGGCTCAGTGGATAGTGTCGGCCTGAGGACTGAAAGGTCCCAGGTTTGATTCCGGTCAAGGTCATGTACCTTGCTTGCGGGCACATCCCCAGTTGGAGGTATGCAGGAGGCAGCTGATCGATGTTTCTCTCTCATCGATGTTTCTAACTCTGTATCCCTCTCCCTTCCTCTCTGTAAAAAATCAATAAAATATATTTTTTAAAAAAGCCAATTCGAAGTTGGGTAAAGAAGTATCTAGAACTCTCATACACTCCTGGTGGAAAATGTAAATTTATATACTTAAAATCCCTCCTAGAAATACACCCAGTAGAAATGGGGCTTGTGGCTGAGCAGAGCTCCCCCTGTGGGAGTGCACTGACAACCAGGGGGGCAGCTCCTGCATTGAGTGTCTGCCCCCTGGTGGTCAGTGTGTGTCATAGTGACCAGTCATTCCCAGACGTTCTGCTGTTAGGTTCAATTTGCATATTACCCTTTTATTACATAGGATAGTAAAAACTAGAAACCCAAATATGTCCATTAACAGTATATTGGATAAATATATGTAAACTAGAGGCCCGGTGTACAGATTCGTGCACTGGTGGGGGCATGGCCTGCAGGGATCAGCTCGTTGCGGGAGCAGCCTCTCATCCAGGAGCAGTCACTCATCCTGGTTAGCCAAGTGGCGCTCCCACTGTAGGAGCACACTGACCACCAGGGGGCAGTTCCTGCATCTAATATCTGCCCCCTGGTGGTCAGTGCGCATCATAGTGACTGGTCGACCAGTTGTCCCACTGTTCGGTCACTGGGCTTTTATATAGATTGTGTTATATTCATATGATGGAAAATTTTAATAAGCATGTATGAATCTCACAAACATGTTGTGTGAACAAGCCTGACACAAATAAAAGTGATTCCATTTATATAAAGCTCAAAGACAGGCAAAAGTAATATAAAGTGTTAGAAACCAAAACGACAGTGGTTAGCATTGATGGGGAGTTGTAGTGACTGGGTGCCTGGGATTGTGGTAATGCTCTGCTGCCAGACCGAATTAGGTACTGTTTACATTGCTATAACACTTTGTGAAAATAAGATTTCTATATGCATATTATACTTCAATAAAAAGTTTACATTAAAGAAATTACAATAGTATTAATTTAGTGAGGAGAAAAGAATTAAAAATACTAAGGGTAGGACAAAGTATGGTAGATCAAAATTGAACAAATATCACATTGTCTATACTCTCAGGTAATGCAAATGGACTTACATTGAACATCACAGAAAGAATTCCATTCACTTGGCCTCCAGGAAGGAAGGTGAAGGGTCTTTAGAACAATCTGTCTGTTCCTCTTATCTGCTGGCTGAATTCCTAGGCAGATAGCCCCACTGACTAAGTTGTGTAATCAAGGAACAGCATTTAAGTGGAAGAAACCCAAAGCCCTAATAAAGGTATAAGACTGTAGAGAGGTATAACATTACTGACCCCAGAGAAGGGAAAATTCTCTAAGCATTGCTTTCGCGATCATGCTGCACTATATACACCCCAGACAAGCCATTGCATTCTCCCTTTATGGAGGGAACCAGTAACATGGATAACTACTCAGGCAGTTCTCCTAAAAAGTATCTTTATTTTCCACCCAAGGATCACTAATATAAGGCCCAAAAGGGACATGGATCGGAGGTCAAGCAACTTCCCTCCACAGTAATTACTGGGTATGATGTTAGTGGAAGGCTCTACCTTAGGTTAGGTGTACATATTCAGAGGGAAGGTTTCAAAGCTGAATCAGACCTAATCCATACTCAAAATAATATCAAGCACAGTAGTAATTGATCAACAACCTGATCATCTGCCAGGTGGGATGACAAGAAAAGGCTTCGAGAATTAAGTACATTTAGACTGGGACTTGAAAGATGGAGAGAATTTTAAGGGAAAGGTGGAGGATAAAAAGTAGATATTTTAGGCAGAGGAAAATGATGTGAGCAAAACCAGATATTGGAAAGTGCAAACAAGGAATGAGCATTTAGAATATCTACCACAAGCATGTCAAGCTCAAAGGCTAACACAGGCCAAATAAACAAGGTTTAAGTTTATGTGGCCACAAAAAAACAAGTTTCAATTTTCATTGAAACATAGGTTTATTTCGATAGACATGCTGAATACAAAGGGCTGAAGTAAGTGAGTAATCGTTAACATAGTGTAATAGAACATTTTAATGAAAATTAATATTTTTTCTTAAACATTAACTTACCAGACACTGAATAACTGCACAAATTAATAAGTGTAACGCAAATAAACCTATTTTTCTTGTTCTCCAAAAGCGAAAAATTTCCTGTTGCACATACCAAACAAGTCAGTCCAAAACTAAAGACGTGGCAATCGGCTGCTAAAATATTCACTAGTAGTATTAGTGGAGAGAAATGGTGCGCCTGTGTGTAAGGCAATGGTTCTCAACCTGTGGGTCGCGACCCCTTTGGCAGTTGAACGACCCTTTCACAGGGGTCGCCTAAGACTATCCTGCATATCAGATATTTACATTATGATTCATAACAGTAGCAACATTACAGTTATGAAGTAGCAACGAAAATTTTATAGTTGGGTCACAACATGAGGAACTGTATTTAAAGGGCCAGAAGGTTGAGAACCACTGGGTAAGGCGAGTAAGGAAAATGAATGCAACACGATTATAGTAATTAGTCATTAGCGAACATTGTAGTTCATTATTAATTATTTATAAGAGAATATTGTAAAAATTAAGTTATGAATTTTTTTAAAATGTTATGAAATTTTTATTAAAATATTTCTTACATACGATAATCTTGGCTGGGCCACAAAAAAATTTGTTGTGGGCCGCAAGTTTGACATTTTTGACCTACTATGTGGCAGGCATTGTGTTAGAGGCTGCTTTTTATATAATTAATCCATGAGACTCAGAAAGGTTAGCTAATTTGCTTAAGCCAGTAAACTGGGATAGCCAGTATTAAAATCTAGTTCTACCTAATTCTAGGACATGTGGTCTTTCCTGTACATGTGGCAATGGAAAAGTACAAGATAAAGCTGAAAAGGTTAAACTATGATCAGGGCTCTGAAAATCTTTTATTTTGTGAATGGGGACTAATGAAATTTTTGGGGGAGTACAGCTACAAAATGTCTCATCCAGTAACATAATCTGGAAAGATTTCATAAGAAATGTTAGAACTAAGTTGAAAAGTATGGGTGGAGAGCAGGAAATATATCTTAAAACTGTGAAAAAGAACAAGTGGAGCTGAAACAAGGAGAAGACAGGCTGACTCCAAAGTCTGGATGAAGGTATCCAGAGCAATTGTGATGCCAAACACAGAAGAGAAAGGTAAAGAAAAAGGCTTACTTGTAGACAGAGAAGACAAGCTACTAAAGAGATGGCCCACCAAAACATTTTGTACAGGCAGAGACTGCATTTCCTTTCATCACCAAAGTGTTCAGGATCTAGGAATGTTTCACACAGTAAGTCATAAATAAAATCTTGATAAAATAATGGAGAGAGGTCAAAGGGACAGATGGGAGAGGAGAGATCAAGAGTTGGATCAAGATTTTAATAATACATTATCTCTATATATAAAATCCTAATATGCAAATGGACCGAACGGCGGAACAACCGAACTGGCCGCTATGACATGTGCTGACCAACAGGGGGTGCGCATGGAACATGGCGGGCATCGGCCACGGCGGGATGGTGGAGCAGGTGAACAGGGGCGCCAGACCAAGGCAGAGTGCCAGTCACTGTCATCGGGGCAAGTCTCTGGTGGTAACTGAAAATTCTTTGCTCCCACACACCAAGGTCCTGCCCGGTGCTTGCACCTGCTGCTGGCGCCAAAGCCACCACTCGCACTTGCTGCCAGCACCTGGCACCGGCGCTGATCATTCAACGCCATCAGTGGATGAGAGCAGTGGCTGCCAGCCCTGATCGCTCTTTAGGATTTCTCCACCTCCCCCTGCTCCTGAGGGGTGATCCAGGCCAGTAGCCACCACTCGCACCCGCTGCCAGCCCTGATCGCTCAGCACCATCAGTGGATGCGAGCGGCGGCTGCCAGCCCCAATTACTCCCAAGGACCTCTCCTCCACCATCACCATCCCCTACCCCATTTCTGAGGAGCGATTGGGGCAGCAGCTGCTGCTTGCACTGGCTGATGGTGCCAGCCATGCTTGCACCCACTGCTGGCGCCAGCCCTAATCGCTCTGTGCCATCAGCAGGCGTGAGCAGGGCTGGCGCAGTCAGCACATGGGAGCAGTGGCAGCAGGAGCGGGGGGCGCCCGGCAGACAGGGGACTGGGGGTCGCAGTGGGAGGGGCTGGGCGGGGGCACGAAGGATGGGCCGAGACCCATCCCTGTGCCCACTCCAGCCTTGTGGCCCACAGTTCCTTTCAAGGTGCACAAATTCGTGCACTGGGCCCCTAGTAACATAATAAGTGATGACTGAAGCAACTGAATGCATGAGAATTTCACTAGAATGTAAACAGAAAGGGAAGGTAGCAAGTACAAAAATCTGGAGAATAACCAGGCACTCCTGGTAATGACAAAAATAAGTAAGAAGAGACAGGAGAAAATATCTAGGAAAAAGAATAAAAGAACGGAGAAAGATTACAGGTGACCCTTTGCAGAAAAGGTTTAAGAGAAAGGTAGAAGTAAAACAGATGAAAGAGGCAAAGTATAAATGGCTGGTGAAGAATTAGGTGTACTCATTCAAAAGTATGATTAAGCCCTCACCAGTGTGGCTCAGTGATACATAATGTCCACCCATGCACCAAAAAGCCACAGGTGTGATTCCCAGTCAAGGGCACGAACCTAGGTTGCAGGTTCAATCCCCAGCCCTAGTTGGGTTGTGTGTGAGAGGCAACCAACCGATGTGTCTCTCTCACGTTGATATTTCTCTTTCTCTCTCTCCCCCTCCCCTCCTCCCTCTCTATCACTCTCTCTCTCAAAAAAAAAAAAATCAATGGAAAAAGTAGCCCCAGGTGAGGATTAACAACAACAAAAAGTTTGATTATGAAAATAGGATGACAAAAGATAAACGAAATAGTGGATTGTGGTAAAGTGCTCTAGGATGGGAAATCTGACGATGTTGGAGGCTTAAAGGGTATGAGGTCCCAGAGGTAGCAGAATGGCATAGGAACAAAAGCACACACAAGTTGAGTAAGGTAAAAAGAGAGATACCTCTTCATTTGAAGCAGAAGTAGACAGAAAAAATGGAGTAAAAGTACTGAGCCAAAGATGTATATAATCATTCCTATTCTTAAAAGAGAAGAAAGGGAGAAAGAAAAAGCTTCTCCAAAAGTTCAATAATTCCCAGGCAATAATAGAACCACCACACATTCTGCTTGGGTGTGCTGCACTATATCCTAACAGACAATACTCTTCTAAGAACAGGAATCTGGACCCACCCATCTCTGTATCTGACCCAGCTAGCCTGGCATAAAGACCAACACATAGAGGACTCCAATAAATGTTACTGGAAAGGAGTGTGAGCAGGTAAGCAGGACCTGGGATGACTCAATGGCTCATACAAGCTGGTATTTCTCCTGTAAGGAGAGCAGTGACATTAAGGAACAGCTCAGCTCTGGCTAGAGCCAAGAATCCACACTGAATCCTGCCTTGGAGCTTCCAGGGAACTATCATGAGAAGAGGTCTATCATCATTATCATGGTTCCAAGAGAACTGTACCATACACTGGCGTCTTCCCTGGCAGGATGACAATAATGAGCTGTAGTCCAGAGTACGTGTTCTTGAGATGCCGGAACATGGGCTCCACGCTGTCTGCCCCCTGCGCATATTTGCAGAAGCAAGGCTGGCCCTGGATGGGCATCCCTGCATCCTTGGAAATTTTCCGCAGCTGGTCTGTGAAGTTTCTACAAGACAAATATGGTCATGACAGGAGGCAGTTAAGTCCCATTTTAAAACCTTTGATCAAATGCTTCCATCTTAGGTTCCTATCACTATGACAGGCACTGAGAGATTCTGCAATAAATGAGACATGATCACAGCTAGTGTCTAAAACATTTATATTTCAATAAGACAAGATAGAGCCTGCTATGTGTTCAATGGTACAAGCAGAAAGCTGAGGGAGCCCAAAGGACCTGTGGGAATTCTCGGTGTCCTCGCCAAGTCCCATTAAAGCAGTTATTCCTGTGCTGTTATAAGAGCATAGCAAGAGGCAGATGTCCTCTTTGCTCAAATTAAAATAAGGTTCCAACAGCCCTGGCTAGTGTGGCTCAGTTGGTTAGGCATCATCCCATACACTGAAAAGTTGCCAGTTTGATTCCCAGTCAGAGTACATGTCCAGTTACAGTTGATCCCTGGTAGGGGGCGTGCAGGAGGCAGCCAACTGATGTTTCACTCTCACATCAATGTTTATCTCTCTCCCCTCTCCTTTCTTCTCTCTCAAAAATAAATAAATAAATAAATATATATATAAATAAATAATCAACGGAGTCCTGGCTGGTTTGGCTCAGTGGATAGAGTA